CCGCACAAAGTGGAAATTTTCCGCAATTAGCTACAATTTACGCACTATAGCTTCATTCTAGACTATCCCAAGCCATCATCCATGGCCACACAATATTAAACATATAAAAATAGAAAAATGAAGAATAAATATAAAAATTCACCAATCTCTACCAAAAGTCACAAAATCAACTCTATGACTAACACAAGTCATTAATTTCACATTATCAAAACCAAAGAAGGAATTCCTTAACTACTCACCTTGCAACCTCAAGAAAAGGCCCAACTTAGCACCACTTTCTTCCAAACCACTTCACAACCAACCTCACTACCACTAAACTAAGGGTTTTTATGGAGAAATTCCAAGTTTAATCGGTTGATTTGCTAGGTTGAGCAAGATTGAAAGGAAGAAAGGTGAGAGTTTTCTTTTCTTTTCCTCTTGAGATGGCCGGCCAAAGAAGCTTGTAAATGAGGATAATTTTGGGTCAATTTTTGATTAATTGGTAAAGTGATGAATAGTGGTCAAAGTCCAAGAGTAAATCACAAAGTGACACTTGTCACTCTCATTAATGCAAAGCTATCCTTTTGTCTCTCCCACACTAATCCATTTGGTAACCTCTAATTATCTCTTAACACTTAGTAAATCAAACCCTGTATACAAAACTTAACCTAACTGGCCGAATTTTACCGAACTTTCCGCACTAGCGGGTCCTACGCCCGGTATTCACTCCTAAAATCTCATGAACCAACTTATACTAGAAAAATGATTGAAAAACCATATTTACTCATAAAATTATATAGAAATTTTCCTAATATAGAAAATATGAAATGCGTGCAATTCAATAAAATAAAACCTAGAAAATAAGAAAATTTACGGGCTCTCACAAAGGAAGTATAGGCAAAGGTAATTCATCAAGGACCTGTTTCAAAGGCAAGTAAACACTTATCAAGCCCTCACGGGCATGGGGGAAGGAAATAGGTCTTCGATGCAAATTCCTCGATGTACACTATAATCTGGTCGCTGCCTATAGAAACCCTAATCAGGCTATGACTGGATTAGTCCATGATAACCCTCCTATATCCAATCTCTCCGATCACTCCAATTCACTAGGTCAAACGTTAGAATCTTCTGCGCTTGACCTTTGCCATCAATACTCACCTTAAGTACAATCAAGATACAGACCCTTATTATAGTGCTCTCCACTATTTGGTATTCAAGTACAAGAATCCACAATAAGATAATTCATAACTCGAGTCGGCCAGTCCCAAGAGTAAATTATCTATATTAGAAATTCCTACCCGACATACATATCTATCTTCCTCAGGTACCATAGGAAGAGATTTATACTTATAACAGGCACGATTCATAACTTACGCCCAAGAAGAGCACTTAGTCCTTTACACTTATTGATATAATCGGGACCATAACACCACTTGGCCCAAGCTCACTTCGCGTAGAGACCACGCGAAGCAGCTTTGATACCACTTGTGACAGTCCCACCTTCCCCTAAGGCAAACCAAAGGGTTCGGCGGACCGTCTGCCCAACTCTCGCCGGGACTACGGAGTCACAACACACCAGCCCTACATAACACGTGATAGAACCCCAAGAAAACAAACAATCAGCGACTACTAAGTGGAAAACATGATTTATAAACCACACGGTGAAATAGTACTTCGATTAAACGTTCAACGAAAATGAAACGAAAACGAAAATAAAAAAAATGAAAACTGGAAAGAAAATCTGCCTCGTCACAATCCGGCCGAGATCTGCCTTGATATCCGGCCGGATTCTTGGCCAGATTGGAGGTAGTAGCTCATCCCAAATGTCATTCAATTCCCCTGTCAATCCGGCCAAGATCCGATCGGATTCGATGAACAGGGTTCCCGCCAAAGTTGTTTTTCTTACTCGTTCCACCGGCCAATGAACTCCCAAAACGTTCATATAACCATAGCGATGTACAATCTCAAATGAATGCAGTTGAAACACATGATTAAACATTTAGATATATAAACATACATTGGAAGGTTTCAAAAGTTCAATCAGCAATACAAGTCGGAATATCCAAAAGTGATCAAAGTACAAGTAGGGTTTTCCATTTCAGAGGAGCTTAAACAAAACATATATCTATCTCTAGCTCTACTCTTTTCTTCAAAATCACGGTTCCCAAAATTTTGAACCCTGTAAGGAAAACAAAATAACGGGAAAGGGTGAGCTTACGCTCAATGAGGTACCACAAATACAAGCAGTCAAGAATCATGGAACTTCACTTTTAATCAGGCAAATATACACACTAAATAAGGAAATGAGCAAACACTTCAAATAGAAAGGATACAGGTAGCTCTCAGGAGCCAAATTCCCTTTTCTTCACTAGAGCTGGATCAAGTAGTAGTTGACACTACGTCAACTTTCAAGTACAGTAACCAATCCAGTAGAGCACCACTTAACCCCAAATTCCGTCCACCAAACATACCCCTTGCCGGGCCCGAACACCTCAACAGTAACAGTGGGTGGTAATACTCGAGTATACCGGAAATCCAGAGTTTCCAATACCCAAAGATTCCCCAGTAACAGTCCCCATGGTTTGTCAATTTTTCTCGACCAAGCCCTTGCTAGCTCGATTCAACTAACTCCCCATGGGGTTGAACTCAGGTTTAACAAGAAGGTCGTTGGATACACTACCAAACGACATTAGAGCAGGCACAGTAACAGATTCCAGTTTATACAGTAAATAGTCACACAGGCAAGAGAACGAGTGTGATAAAGTACACCCTCGTCTCATTCAGAATAAACAGAGTTCACAGTCATTCAAGTCACAGATTTCAAGTACAAGTAAATCGGTTAATCAACAAATCAAGGGAGTGGTACACTCACCAGTTCAAGTGAAGATAACTTCAAAAGTTTTCACCCAAAGTAGGGCTTTGATCACCGAGAAACCCTAAAATAACCAAGATAAAACAATTATGGTTCCCACATCCACAAACCCAGTAAACGGAATGCACAATTGAGGCTCGACTACAAGTCGTAAGCCAATCCATATGGACTACGAATGCAAGGATATAAAATGTAACTTTTGAGCAAAAAGATAATGGTTGGTCCTGGGGATACGAACAACCCCAAAACCCTTCATTTCTACCAAAATGTAACTCAAACTTAATGGAACCAAATGGCCTAGAAAATTGGACAGCATTTCCCCTTAATTCCTTTACTTTCCACCCTACAAGTCATCACCAATCTCAACTCAAATCAACCACAATTGCACACACAACACATAAGTTAGAAACCACACCTAATTAGGGCCACGATACCCCTGCATTTTGAGCCAATTAATAGCTCCAAAACCAATCACAATAAAGCCCCAAATTGAAACCCTAATCTGAAATTTACTCCCCAAATCTGAAATTTTCTTTAAGCAAGTCCATCTAACCCATAATACCCTAGTATTTCACATAATAAAGCTATCAAACCATATCCAATCTTTACTCATCACATAAGGGCAGAAAAATCCCCATAAAAACTGAAAATTTCCATAACACCACTTCAAACCATCATATGTCTCATAAAATTACCTATTTTGCAACTATAATCCACTAATTGACAATTAATTGAAGTAGAGGGAAGATTCTAGCCAAGATTACCTTGTTCCTCCAAGAAAGATGGAAGCTTGGTGCTTTCTTCTCCAAAATCACTCCACCAACACCTTTAGTCTTCCTTAGTTAACACTTTTATGGAATGGTTTGCAAAGTTGTTGGCTAAAACTCAAGATTCAAACAATTTTTGGAAGTTGGAAAGGAAGTTTTTTCTCTTAGTTTTTCTCTCTTTTGGCCGGCCAAGCATGAAGAAAAATGAGATGAATTTGGTCAAATTTTTGATTTAGTAAAGTTAAGAAACCTTGGGTCAAACTCCAACCTCCACTAATTTCATGACACTTGGCCTTTCTTAGTTTTATCCTCATCTTCTTATCCTCCAAAGCTAATCTATCTAGTTAGGCTCTAATTATCTCCTAGTATCTTGTAACATACTATCCTTTTATGAAAATTCACCCAGTCGCCAAAAATATATCGTACTTACCGCACTAGCGGGTCCCACGTCCATAACGCTCCTCAAACTTAACAGGTACTCACTTATACTAGAAAAATAATTTAAAAATGATACTCACTTGTATAATCTCTAAAAAATTATGATAATAAAATAAAGTAAGAAAAATGCACGCGGGAAATGAAATAAATAAGAGAAATTTTACGGGTCCTCACAGCACAGGGTGGAGGAACTCGTGTGCGTTACTCACCTTCTACTAGGTATTCTCGATGTGTCTGTAGGGCGACACATGCTTACCCGAATAGCCTCGTATTTGCCCTTGACGATGAACGACGTCAGTTGGTGGATACCAACCAAGATCTGCTCCAGGAGGTTGAGGAACTAAGCCTTTTGGTGAACGCTCAGAGCGCTAGGATTGCTGAGCTGGAGGGGACATTAGTGGACGAGGTGGCTAGGGCTGAGGCTGCCAGTGATGAGCTTTAGAGAGCTAGGGCTCGACTTACGAAGATAGGCGAGGAGGTCCGTGATCAGGCTTCCGGGATCATGGCCGATGCCACTATGCTGATTGATGAGGTGATGGAGGATGTTCAGAGTCCGACTCAGGAGGAGGATCCGGAGGAGGGCCCTGAGAAGGAGATTCCACTTGATAGCCTTACTGTGGACTAGACCTTGAGTGATAGACTTTTGACTTTTATGGTTAGGAATAGCTGGGGTGACGCTAGTACTGAGGCCATTGTATTTTGCTTGATTGTGTGGCCTACTTTTGAGGCACTTGGCTCTATTTTAGTCGTGAATGGCTAAAAGTACTTTTGTGACACCTGTGTGCTATATTTTTGTAATACCACATGACTTGCTAATTGTATGGACTTTAAAGTGCTAATATATGTAAATTATTGTTACTTCCGATATTTTCATGATCTGTTCTTATTTTAAGTATTTTCTCGCATAATAACTTTTATTTCTTGTACTAGGCATACCTAGAATTATGGACGGACGAAGAAGTGGTCGAGGTCGTGGGCTAGGGATTAGGCAAACCCCACCTCAAAGGGATGATCAGGGATCGGCAACTGGGCTGACCCAGGGACAAGGGAATTTAGAGGGTAACCAAATGGCTACTGTCATAAATAGGATGACTGATATCCTTGAACGGTTAGCCGAGAGACAGGATCCAGGGCCACTTAATCAATCCGGGGCCCAAGATAGAGGGGAAGATAGGGCTTTGGAAAGGTTTTTGAAGTTTAACCCGCCTAAATTCATTGGAGAACCAAATCCCGAGGTAGCGGAGAACTGGTTGGAAAGGATGACCAATATATTCGCCACCTTAGATTATACCGTAGATAGGCGAGTGAACTTTGCTGCGTTCCAATTTGAGGGGGTAGCCCATGCCTGGTGGGACATGATAAGGGGAAAGTGGGAGAAAGCCCAAACCCCTTGGAATTGGAAAAAATTTACGAGGGAGTTTAATGAAAAATTTCTTCCACCTCTAATCCAAGAGAAGCGGGAGGATGAGTTCATCAAGTTAAGACAAGGAACTTTTAGTGTAGCTGAGCACGAAGGGAAGTTCACTAACCTTTCCAAGTACACTCCCGAATTAGTGACCAATGAGCGGAAAAGGATAAGACGGTTTGTTCAAGAGCTTAATATGGAAATTCAGGAGGTTTTGGCTATAGCTCAAATCTCTACATTTACTGAAGATTTAGAGAAAGCACAGAGAGTTGAGAGCGCAAGAATGTAAGTTAGGGATTTTCACTCTAAGAAGAGGAATATTTCTGGTTATACTGCTGGTCAGGCTAGTAAAAGTACCCCGCCTTCCAAGATGGGAAGGGGAACGGGAGGCGTAAGGACCGCAGGAGTTTCAAGGGAAGCTTTATCCAGAGGAGGTCGTAGTCGGCCGGTTCAAGCGAAAGGAGTGCCTTCTAGTGGTCCGGCCGTAACCCCTCAAGTTAACTGTGGTTACTGTGGCAAGCCAAATCATTCGAAGAATGATTGTTAGAGGAAGTCGGGAAAGTGTTTGGCCTGTGGTAGTGCCGAACACCAGCTCGCGAATTGTCCAAGTAAGTTGAATGTAGGAGGTAGCACTCAAAGGCCAGAAAAGTCAACCTCTAAGTAGACTAGTGCTAGAGGGAGTTGACCAAAGGTACCTGCTAGGGTTTACGCATTGGACTACTAACAGATCCCCGATACTACTGAGGTGGTTGAAGGTACAATCCCTATTTTTCACCATTTAGCTAAGGTTTTAATTGATCCGGATGCAACACATTCTTTTGTAAACCCTAATTTCATGAGGGGCATAGATCTGAAGCCTATTAAGTTACCTTTTGATTTGGAGGTTAGACACCTACTGGGGATCAAAGTTTAATCGCTAACTTGATATATAAGGATTGCGAGATCTGGGTTGGTGAACGGAAATTACTGGCCGATTTGATGGGTTTAGCGATTAAGGGGTATGATGTGATCCTAGGAATGGACTGGTTAGCCCGTTACAATGCTCAATTGAATTGTAAGACAAAAATGGTAGAATTGTGCATTCCAGGAGAGACAACCCTTAAATTGGATGTAAGCTGTAGATTAGCCTCATCTGCATTTATCTCAGGAATTCAAGCAAGGAAAATGATAAGTAAAGGAGCTTAGGGATATTTGGCTTTTCTTATAAATACTCCTAGCGATAAAGTGAGATTAGAAGACATACATGTAGTGAAGGAGTATCAGGATGTTTTCCTGAAGAGTTAGAGTCTTTACCCCGGGAAAGGGAAATTGTGAGAACCCTCACTTTAAAACCAAAATTTTCCTTAACTACATGCCTTATTCTATGATCTAGACCATTTATTATATGCCCTTACCTTATATTCCTTATGTGTTATAACAATTTCCATACATTACATTTTATTTCCTCTTACTTCAATTAAAACAATTTTCTTGAGATAGTTATATTTTTCTACCACTTATATTTTACCAAGTGTTCTTTTATTAGTGGTTGGAACTTTACATGTAGGATTAGAGGTGTTAAATATGTATTGGTACATTTGTAAAGGTTAAAGTATCATTAGTCAAAGATTAAGGGAGGATTGGACAAGAATGGGGACAAGTGGCAAAACCCTAGCCAAGTAGCTTGTTTGACCAAGAGTTAAGAGACAATTTAAACTAAGCTTGGCCATTTTTTTTCCTCCTTGTGGCCGACTTTCATGAAGCTTAGAGAGGAAGAGAGAAATTCCATTTTCCTTGCTTTCTAACCCTAGTAAATCAAGAGCAAAAATCAAAAGAGAAAGATCTTGAGTGAGTTGAGAAACTTCCCTTCATTCCTAGTGGTTGATCCAAGCTTGAAGCTTCCATCTTGGTGGATTGTTTGGAGACTTAAGCAACTTGTCAGAGAGCTAAATGACCTTTAAATTTGGGGGTTATGATATTATATCATCTACTTTAAGTTTTCATGGTGAAATACTGATACGAATCTCGTTGGTGAGGAGATTCGCGACCCAAGATCGCTTGTTGGATTTGACGTCGGATGCAAGAAACGGTGGCAGCGGAAAACCCTACGACCCCTCTAATCCCCGTGACTACGAACTTGTTGATACTATCTCAACCCGTAATCAAACGAATTAGTGAACCTCAGGCAAGTGTAGAAGGCGCCACAATTCAAGTGCGATTCTTGAATTGATAAGCCGAACAGGAACACTAGAGTATAACTCTAAATTGTTCAAGGTTTGCTCGAAAGCTATGGAGAAAACTCTCTCAATATTTTTATCATAAAAGTGTGTACCTTTGTGGGAGTAATGGGGTGCCTTATATAGGCTACAAGTAAAACCCTAATCTAGTAAGGAAAAGGAACTAACTAATGACTCTCCAATCACAATCACAATTAAGGCTAACTAATGGTCAGCTTATAAAGCTGGCCCAACATAACCCAATAAAAGCTAATTCACCAACTTAAGTAATAGTGAGTCTAGACTCTATAAATTGGATCCAACTCAGCATGAGGTCTTGGACCGAACTTATTCCTACCAAATAAAATAGAAATCTGAAAAATAAACTACTAAACTATTACTAAAAGATTCATTCTCTTGCAGCCCGAAACATGGCCCATAAGCGGCCCATATTTCATATCATTCCCCTCCTCTTGAAAAAGATTTGTCCTCAAATCGTGGTTGGAAATGAATGGTACTAACAAGAGTTGGCAGGATGAAACCTCAAATCTCCACATATTGGCTCTCTTAGAATGAATGATACTTGCATACGTCATGATTATTATAATTTGGTGCACATGTCTCTTGGTCAGCTTGAAAATGCTCACAATCAGCCATGGAAAACTCAAGGCTTTACTCCAACGACTCCTCGAAGATAACGCATATAGCTTCGGTTCCATGATGCAAGGTAAAATATATGGTACATTGGCAGCAAGCTCACATCTTCTTGGATACTCCATAATGCAACTGAGAAACTGAACAACACTTTGAACATGATCGACTTCATTAGATGGATCATCACTTGGGACACTCGTTGCAAAATGGTAAGGAGGCAAAGGACAAAATTCAAGTGCAAGGACTCCCTTTGAAACTTCATTACTCCTCCCAACAAGCAAAGCAGGCTCATGGGTGAAGTTGTATATCAATGGATAGTAAAGGAATACAATACTTAAGATGCAAACTCCATGAAAATTCTGATATTCGCCAATGGATATAGGGATAGAACATGCCATGATCAACTCAATCTCTCCTTGCTTAACCTGGATAAAAGAAGAAAAGCTAAACATAACAAAGGTAAGTTCGTTAGAAAAATAAGCCCTCGCATTGTTTCGCAAAGTCAGCGCACTTTTTCCCTTGTCTTCCTTCTCAACTAGCTCAAGACAACTACCTTGTGTAGATGGGACTTCAAGGTTTTCAATCTCAAGTTCATTGCTAGCATTCGTAGATATTTCTTCAATCAATGGCGGACTAGAAGGAACATCTTTACCACCATTGGTTGACACATGAGTAAGTTGCTCAAAATATGATTTCAGCACTTGGCTAATTTCTCCCATCATAGAGTCAAATAATTCTTTAGTCCAGCTTCGGAAATCAGTCTTCGATTCACGAGGCTTTGATTCAATTCGAGAATTCATGACTCGATTGTCACAACACTCCTTAGATGATGCTCGTTTGCTTGATGAAGACCTTGGCTTAGATGCTCGACGCAAACTCCTTTGCTCCTCCTCATACTCATTACAAGTACGCTTATATCATTCATATACGCACAAGGCACGAAAATGATCCATTTCCTCCTGAAGTGGATGAAACTCATGTTGTGAATGCTCGGAGATTGAATGCGTGGAACTAGAGTACTTGGAAGTAGTTCGCTTGGAACCCCTCCTCTTGAGAGGCTCGTTTTCTAAGAATTCTTGATGATATGAATGAGATGCAACTCCACGAGGCATGGTTAAGTGACCTGCAAAATTGGTTAGCAGAGAAGAGAAATTTCTCACAACACACAAGCTCACGTGTATGCACTCATCACTCGTGTTGTCACTCTAATTTGTCCCTCAAGTAGTCCTCACCAAAGATTTTCTCATAGCCCCTTGCAAACCTTGAAGAAAGTAGAATTCTCCAAGTGCTCAAGTGTAGCTTAAAAACAAGTTCACGCTAGAATTTGAGGTTCGTAAGAGTAGAGATTTGCTTGGAAAACAAAATTAAGACACTAAGAATGGAGTGGTAGAATATATTCAAGAATAAAAACTGGAAAAAGAATGGGCACAAAAGCTACAAAAAATTAAGAAGGACACTCAAAAGCTCTAGCCGACGAGGAGGATGGTCCTTTTGCTTTGCTTGATTTTCTTGGGATGTTTACCCCTGTCCTAACCGACTCAAAGCTGAAACTAGAACCTACTTGGACACTTGAAAACACAATAAAGTTGACTGGGACAAATTGAGTGCTAGTGTCGGTTTCTGGTCAGCACAAGGAATGGTATGGTATCGGTTTTGGAATTGGCAGCTTTGGTTTGTGTGTTTGGGGAGTTTCCTAGAGCTGACTTGGCCGGTTGAGGAAGCCTGTTTGAGTTGTGTTTGTGGTAGGGGCGGTGGATCTGGTTGTTAGATTTTAGGAATCACGAAGTTCCCAATTTAGTGTCCAACAAGGAATTGGAAGGTACTCAGATTTGGGAGTTAGTGGAGATCCGAATCTCACTTGGGAAAAAGTATGCCTTGGACTGCTATGTATCCCATATTTCTTGCCTTTCTTCCTCCTCTTTATTTATTTTTTTTTGTTTAAACTGCTTTGAAGCAAGCTGGTAATACATTCAATCCTTCAAGAATTCAAAAATTTGAGATTTGTAGAGTAAGAATCCAAGATCTTTTTAAGATCAAAATCCAATTGGCCCAAGGTTCAAGAGATCCGACTTTCTTTGTGCAAGAACTTCAAATTCGGTTCTGTTTTTTTTTTTTGGTACACAGTCCAAACACACAAGACCCCACACGAATTAAACTACAAACTGGACAAAAACTAGAGCCATCTAGTGACCGAAATTTCTGGACAGATTGGTGCACAATACAACGCTAAAAGGAAAATCCTAGTTGCGGCAAGAAGGGAAGAAGGCCCTAGTTGCGGCTGTAATTTTTTTGTTTTTTTTTTCTCTTTTGGTGGCTGTTTTGCACACCCAAAATGACTCTACAACACAACGAAAGGACTAGGATCTGGGCAAACAATAGCAAGAGACAGCAAAACAGATTGCATGCAATACCAAGACACAAAGAGTACGATGGGGAGCAA